GAGAATACATATACACGTTATATATTATGTAGCTTTAATACAGTATATATACTACTATGGGGTAATGCATATTACATATAGTATAGGTAGTATTAGAAAACACATATGTATAAATGTGTGTGTGTGTGTGTGTGTGTGTGTGGTCATAGAGATGTGTTTACATCTTTCTGGTTGGCAAGGCAATAGTACAGCAAATGGTTCTTATACCTTCATAAATTCCTTTCAAAAACATTTATCTTTTTGTAATGATGGATAAATGTTTAGAAAACACAGAAAAATTATAAAGAAGGAAACTGTAGTCCATATTGCAGTGCCAGTAGATAACTACATTTTTTTTTCTGTGCAAACATATACACATATGTAGATAGATGGGGTAGGGTTGTGGGACAGGTAGGTAACAGGTAGATGGGTAGGTGTCAGTATGTATATAGCATATATTTATATAGTTGAAATGTACTGTACACATCCATTCTGATACTTGATGTTATGTTCTCACATGAGTAGACTTTATGTCAATACTATTTTATAGAAACCTATGGTTCTTAATACATTTAAAAAAGTACAAAACAGCATATATAGAAGCATAACTAACCTAACAAACACCACTTGATAGGGTAAATTTTTCTTCTGGGTTATATTAATAAAAGTCAGCATTTTGTATATGTACCAATAAATTCAATATTTATCACTTTCCTTACTCTGTTAATCCCTCAAAGACTGTATTTCTGCCCCTAGAAAATTAGCTGCCATATAACCAGAGACTTATAACCAGAGAAATAACTAAGTGTAGAATTCTGTGACCAACTAAGTAGTCAGTCATGAACCTGTGAGCCTAAGACTTAGCCCCCATTCTGGGACTTGGGAACATATCAGCAGACAACATTGCAGTCCCAAAGTACTTCTCTGGACTCTTTTTGCCTTAAACTTGACTCTACGTGGCAGTTGCCTTAACTTGACAGTAGTTAGCAGTTAAAATCGACTGTACAGGGCAGTGGTTTTCCACTGGAAGTGATTTTGAGCCCAGGAGACATTTGGCAGTGTCTGAGGGCATTTGAGGTTATCATAACTAGGGAAGGAGGTGCTACTGGTATCTAGTAGGTAGTAATTCTGTGGACTGTCCTTTAATGCATAGGACAGTCCTCCACAACAAAGAATTATCATGCCCTAAATATCAGTGGTGCTAAGATTGAGAAATCTTTAGTTGTAGACCCTGAAAGGCTGGCCCCGGGTGGGTCCCAAGGGATTAGGCCAAGGCATATGCACTAGGGGCAGGTAGGTATCCATCCTGGGGCTGGCTCAAGGAACCTCATGGACTTTGTATCTAGAGACATGGCCTCTAGTGGCAAAGAATAAGAAATAATGAAAAGGAAAAATAAAAAAAATGAATGGATATTCACAAGATTTCCTTTCTTATGCCAGCCTTGCATCTTGATTTTTTCCCCTCTCTGGATAATTGTTAGTGTAAAAAGCAAGGGGCGTTCCCAACACAGTACAGAAAGAGCTCTTGTCTGAAAGACAGAAAGCAAGGGAGGATCCAAGGTGTGGATATGTCATTGCCTTTGGGATCATCCTATCACTAAGGTCCTGCATTTGGGAGGCTCTTCTCCAAAATGTTGTCTGGCAAGATTGGAGTTTAATTTTTAGAGTTCTTTGTTGAACCAAGATTATTGATGGAAGGCATTCAGCATATTGATTTTTTCTCATGCATTAGGTAAAGGGACATTTATTTCTAATAGAGGAAATGGCTATGTTAACTACTATAATGGCTTCCTTCACCATTGGGTGAATAGCAATAATAATTTGCTATTATTAGAAGCCACTAATTATGGCTTGAGCCTGATATAGTATAAGAAAGATATAAAACAGAACCGTAGTTGAGTAGAGAACGTGAAGTTGCATGGTAGCTTACTGTCACGGTGGGAATCAGTCTTGGGATTTCTTGTGACTAGGCCAAGTCATAGTGGTTCACAGAGGTTGAGATGTAGCATAGCAGTTACGAGTCTGGCGCAGGAACTACACCGCCTGGACCTCACACAGCTCCAACACCGTAAGGTCTTATAGACTGTAAGCATGGTACTTATCTGCTGTGCATTTCAGTCTCCTCATCTGTTAAATGGTCATGATAATATTCCTCATAGAGTTGTTATGAAGAATAAGTACATTAAAATGTGTAAAGCACTTAGAACCATTGTTAGCCACTAGATTGTTTTTGTTGTTCCATTTCTGGCTTTCAGGTATCAGGGACTTGAAAGGGGGACCCTCTTGCACTCCTAGTGGGAATGAAAGCTGGTGCGGCCACTCTGGAAAACAGTATGGAGTTTCCTCCAAAAATTAAAAATAGAACTACCTTATGATCCAGCAATTAAACTACTAGGTATTTACCCAAAGAATTCAAAAATACTAATTCAAAGGGATACATGCACCCTAATGTTTATAGTAGATTTATCTATAGTATCCAAATTATGGAAACAGCCCAAGTGTCCATCAACTGATGAACACATAAAGAAGATATGATATATGTGTACGATGGAATATTACTCAGCCACAAAAAAAAAAAAATGAACTCTTGCCATTTCCAATGACGTGACTGGAGCTAGAGAGTATTATGCTAAATGAAAGACAAATACCATATGATTTCACTCATATGTGGAATTTAAGAAAACAAATGGGCAAAGGGAAAAAAGAGAGAGAGGGACAAACCAAGAAACAGACTCTTAACTATAGAGAACAAACTGATGATTACCAGAGGAGAGGTTGCTATGAGGACGGGTTAAATAGGTGGTGGGGATGAAGGAGGGCACTTGTGATGAGCACAGGGTGATGTATGGAAGTGTTGAATCACTAAATCTTACACCTGAAATTGATAGAATACTGTAGATTAACTAACTGGAATTAAAATAAAAACTTAAACACATACACACAAATGAAAACGATAGACATAATATCACTTGGTTTCTATTTTGTTCCTATCACGTGTGTCATAAATGAAAGGTATTGATACAAATAGTGATTGTCAATCTTAATTAAACCCAGTTGCCGAAGAAATCGGATTTGATTACAGAATAAAGTGGTTTGAAGATATTACTCGAGCAAAACTTGCCCTTGTGTCATTTTGTTTCTAGTAGATTAAAAAGCCAGAGAAGCTTCTAGTCTTCTTCTAAAATGGTGTTCACAAACTTCTAGGCAGAACAGCTGTTCTTTAATTTGTACTTTAATTCAGTGGAACTTTATTAGACTAAAATTAACCAAACCCCAGAGAGACCTGGAAACATAAATGCTTATCAAATGTTACGGATTCTAAATAGGACATTCTGGAAGACAAAGATGAAGGCTAACAATTTACCTTTCATATTTAACTATCGCATTCCCATGGGGGAGAAAAAAGACAGCTAGTTTGAATCAAATAATGGGATGTTTCTTGGATAATAATACAGTGTGTTAGTTGAAAGAACTAACTAGTCATAGGTTTATTATATCAAGCACTGAAGTTTCATTTCTTTTGAAACTACCTATTGTCCAGATTTTTATAGCTAACTTCAGGTACAGTGAAATTAAATGAACTATTTCTTTGAAGGTAGACATGGGCTTTCTCTATTTTGGTAGCAGTTGAAAATACTAGGTCAGTGGATCTGGCAATGATCAGCCTCTTAATCTTGTTTTAATTATGGGTTCTTTGCTACTTCTGATTTTATAGTTGTTATTTGGTGACTGACATTCAGACATTCACAGTAATTTCTAAAATATGCGATTTCACAGAAGAGTTCCTCAAAGTGACCCTAAGATGAGAGTTTCTAGACATAATTACAGAGAGGAAGGAACTACTGACCTAGCATGAGTTGAAGGTTTCTAGGGCTATCTCATTTTCAAATTTTCCAGTTAAACACTGTGGTCGAGTTTCACATTTCTGCAAGCTTGGGTGAGAGGGAGGCCGTAGGGGGCACCTGCAAAGATTATCATCTGGGCAGCATTTTTCCATTGTCACTGCTGTACATTTGAAAACATCAGGGGCTAAATACGATTAACCTTTGCTTCTCGCTGGAAACTTGAACCCTAAGTGTGCCTGTTGCCTCCATTCTCTGTTACTCTAATTTTTTTAGAACAGCTGTGGTTGTGGCTAGGTGTCATTTGGCAAAGAAGACACAAATATTTGTCGTGCATTATCATTTTTGGTTAGGTTCAAAATCTGGTTCCAGTGACTTGTACTGTCAATGAAGCAAGCTTAAGGCCTCAATTGAGCAAAGTGATACTCATCATAAATCACATTTCCCTAAATTTAAGATAACATTTTTGTCAGTGCTCTGTATCCAATTGATATTCTTTTTTTTTTTTTTAAGATTTTATTTATTTGACAGAGATCACAAGTAGGCAGAGAGGCAGGCAGAGAGAGAGAGAGAGAGAGAGAGAGCGAGAGCGTGAGCTGAGAGGAGAGCCTGATGCGGGGCTCGATCCCAGGACCCTAAGATCATGACCTGAGCCAAAGGCAGAGGCTTTAATCCACTGAGCCACCCAGGCGCCCCTCCAATTGATATTCTTGATCATGAACATTGTTTCTATGGTAAATGATACATTTTAAATTATACAAGCCAAATATTTCCCCCAAATTTTAGCATGTTTCTACACTAAGCTCTGTTTCTTCATCTGTAAAATGAAGGCATTAAGATCACCTTATCTCTAAGGTCTTTTCTGGTGCCCAACACCCCCTAATTAACGTCCAGCCTCTTTAATTATTGAGACTCTGCTGGATTTCCGGATATTTACAGGATGTTTCAAATGGCACGACTCCACCTAGCCAAAGGATCCTCTCTGTTGGCCCTCAACAGATGTGACTCCCAAGAACCCTTCTACCTTCCAGGGACATGGTGGTGGCTCCTCACAGAGAGAGAGGACCAGCTGTTAGAGGTCTAATCACCCTGTCTTGCCAGTTGCCTTTTTGTTTGGCCATTCGGGTATAAACACTAACCTGTTTCTTCCCCTCACTCTTTCCATGCGTACTTCAACAGAAAGGAGAGCCCGACTGCTATGCGCTCTCCCTGGAAATGACCGAGCAGCTCACCTTCGAGATCCCCCTGAATGATTCGGGTTCTGCTGGTCTTGGCGTGAGCTTGAAAGGGAACAAATCTCGAGAAACTGGAACGGACTTGGGAATTTTTATCAAATCCATCATCCATGGAGGTGCTGCTTTCAAGGTCAGTAGGACTGCCTGTTTGCATGTCAGTGTGAAGGTGCTCGAGATGTGTCCCTTTGCTCGGGGACTGGGTGCAGGCACTATCTGAAGATGTGAGACCACGAGGCTCTCCTGCGGATGTACCACGTATATGTGTGAACAGATCTGGGCAACAGTTGTCTGTGTTCACACTGTGTGGTTGGTTTTATGCCCCAGACATTGTTCTCTAAACCCATCATGATCAGTACTCTTTCTCTCATTCCTTTTATTACTCTGTTAGGATTCCTGTGAATTTGTAACCAGACAGAGTTGAACCTCAAAATAGCCTCAGAAAAATAAAGCTCAAAACAAGTCAACACGAAGGCAGCAAATAAGGAAATTTGCTCTTGCAAGAATGAAAGCTCAGTGGAGCCTGAGAATGACTGTAGTATAAATTAAAGGTTATTTATCACGTTTTATGCCCTTGAAGATAGGCATGGTGCCAGGAATGCATGTTTGCCTTTGAACTTGGGAAAGCTTACAGATTTCCAGAAAAAGAGGAAAGAAAGTGATTCTGCCTTTTCACATTGGGGTGAGCAGTGTGATCATTGATATTAACATAGTATGATGGTTATCTAGATGGCCTGGGTTCAAATCAAGCTTCATTGCCATGTGCTCTGACCAGGACACCATTGCTAGCTGTGTGGGAATATGGGCGAGGAATGTGACCTGCTGTGCTCCCATATCTTCCTCTCTGGGGGGTATATAATAGGTTATCCCTAATTCAAGTGTCCTGCAGATGAAATTAACACACATACTATGATTAAAACAGCAAAGTGATTAGAGATGGGGGGAACATGTTTGTGCTTATGATCCGCCATCCTCCCCACCATCCTCATCTCACGCCATGCCACAGGTCTTCTTGAGTTTGAGTCCTCCCCAGACTGCTCCCACCTGCTATCATGTGGACAAGTTACTTGTCTCCGTATGCTTCAGTTTCCTCTCTTGTAAAATGAATAAAATTAATAGAGCCTGCCTACTGGTGCTCTTAGGAGGACAAAGAGAGATACTATATGCATTTTGTCCAGCACAGTGCCTATGATAAACTCTCAACAAATGTTAGCTGTTTAAAAATAATCTGACACTGATCACACGTGACCCTCCCTTAACAAAAGCCAAGAAAGGTCTATGGAGAGTTTCCAGGAGCATCTCCGGTCTTGGAGTGCTGGCTTGGTCGAAGCACTGGTCTCTTCTCACTTATCATTCCACATTTGTTTCAAACCTAGACACTGAGCTGATGCCTTTTTCCTTGGGAAATAAGAAATTCATTGTGAGTAGACAACTTTTTAATGTATTCCTTGGATCAGTTAATTTTTTTTGACATAATAAATAATGACAGGATTTCAGTAACATACATCAGTAAGCCTTTATGTCCCTCACGACTCTGCAGGATAGCTCAAGCGGCTGGGATTTAGGCTGCTGTACCTTTGTGACACCATATATCTGCAGGTCAGTGTCCTCCGTGTACGTCACCTCCCCCCCAACCCGGACCAGCAGGCTAGCAGGAGCACGTTCTTCTCATGCTCTGAGGTGGCAGAGGGCCAGCAGCAAAGAGAGAGTGAAGCCTCTCAAATCCGAGGCCCCGAGCTGGCACTCCGCCCCTCCGTGCACACTCAGAAACACACACGTGCACTTCTGACCAAAGTAGTCATGTGGGTGAGCCCAAGGTCAAGGCCTGGGGAAACATAGTCCACCCCTGGTGAAGCTGTGGCGAAGGTGCAGGTCCAGAGAAGGGGGAAGTTTGGGGTCAGTCGTTCAGTCTGTCAAATTCTCCCATCTGGCTCAGAAATGCAGAACCAGGAGCAAAAGGAGAATAATAATAAGACTAACAGCAGCAATTAGCCTTCCTTGTGCTTAGCACTTAACATATGCCTGGTGTGGGGATAAATACTTTAGGTGGGTTCTCTAATTGAGTTCTTCATGTTGACACTGGATGATGATTAGGCAGCTCCGTCAGAGGGAAACTGCAGATTACAGAGTTTAGTGCCTCTCCTGTGGTCACAGCCAGGAATCGCTTAAACTAAGACTTGAACCCGGGCAGTCTGACTTCGGATCCTGTGCTCCACTGTACTGCGGTGAAGCCTCCTTCAGCTCCTCCTTCATATTCCTGAAGATTGGGGGCCATTACCCCGGAGTTGTCTGGTGTCACGCCTGTCACCCTTCACCGAGCCGTCTAAGCAATGTGCTGTGTTTAAAGAGGAGCCTTGATCCTGCTTGTGGTTACCGGGTTGATATTCTTCTTCTTATACCTAATGACAGTTCTGTTTGCGGAATTTATTCCGAGTAAAATTGGAACTGAAATGATTTTTTGGAAATTAAAAGCAAACATCTTAGCTGCTTTATGGGCAATAACTTAAGCTCAAGCAGATATTGGAGAGCAGGTTTAATGTGTATATCCATGTTTGTGTAAGTGAGCATCTCCTTACCTAAGCAGTTTCTAACAGTCCTGTTTCTCCAAGAAAGATTTCACTTTCCATTTATGTAAATTTCTTTCCTGACACCAGTCTGCTGAGTCAGACAATCACACCACTAAAAACCACTGGACAGCATATTTAAGTTAAGCTGATCTTAAACAGTAAGAGGCATCAATCATGAATTTAGCCTTATTGTGAATGTTTAGTATCCATTTGTCTTGTTTACTTTCTGCAGTATAAAGGGTGCAGGACTAAGCTTTGCTCACAAGAAATCTGATTAACCAGAAAAAGAGAGAGAGAGAGAAAGTATTTTTCTATTCTGCTGCGACCGTTCCAATAATCCATTGTTACTCTTCAGAAAATTGCCACCTGTTCTGTGATTCAGGATTATGTCTTACAGAAATTGTTTTGAGACTTTGTTCCTGTCCCCTGTTCAGAAGATACAAATGTAACAGACTGCAGTGTCCCCGGGGCAAAGGGGAGATAAGCATGGGGAACATCCACTTTAGCATCTGGCCCTAGGTTTTTACCTGAAATCAACAAAATAATCTTTCTGCCAGAGCACAATCTTTTTCTCCTGGACCTTCGTACCACTAATTGGTTCTCAAGGTGTTTTTCCCTTTAGGGAAGGTGGATTTTTGAAAACTAAACTACTTTGAAAAGTATGACCAAATTCTTCCTGTGGATTCTGTGTGCTGTATTCTCCTGGGGGCTTCCGCTGGTATAAACAAAGATAGGCTACTTCTTGCCAGATGCAAAACCACCGAACCACTGTGCGACTGTGACTATAATTGAGGGGCTCTTTTTTCTTTCTTTTCTCTCTTTTTATTTATTTTTATTTATTTATTTTTTATTTACCTCTCGGGCTGCTGCTTTCAATCATTTCCTCTCTTGAGTTCTTTATAATGGAGATGTAAATCTGTGTTTGAAAATAAAAGCACCTGGCTCTTCTAGGAGTCCCTCTTGGGGTAAATTCCTCTCACTCAAGGGGCAAACTGAACAATATTCGTACTCTACTCAGAGTTATCCAAATGCTTAATCTCATTAATATTTAAATTCCAGTCTGCATATCAAGAAGGAAATCCCAGAAACTCTTTCCTATTTGTGTCAGGGCTCGACATCTGCCATTTCAGACCCCTTCAGCCCACGGAGCTCTTTGTGGACATTTCTGAAGCATTCGTTTGAGCTCCACTTTTCAAAGTACAAAGGGGCCATTGACCTCAGTAGCCAAATATAACTGAGTATTGGTGCTAATTTGCTTAAACAGTAACAGGGATTACATGTTTGTAGTTCCATTTTAGTTTCTGTCATTCGTACTGGGCATTGGCAGCTGAAGTACAGGGTAATTGCTTTCAGAACCTGTAGAAGTCTCTGGGTTTAACATCTTCCAAACCAAGACCTGTGTGGCATTTTTTTTTTTTTTAAGATTTTATTTATTTATTTGACAGAGAGGTAGAGAAAGCACAAGTAGGCAGAGTGGCAGGCAGAGGGAGAGGGAGAAGCAGTCTCTCCGCTGAGCAGGGACCCCGATATGGGCTTGATCCCAGGACCCCGGGATCATGACCTGAAGCAAAGACAGCTGCTTAGCTGACTGAGCCACCCAGGCGTCCCAGCTACTCTGCGTGACATTATGAAGTGCTTAAGGATGCTTTTCTAAACTTTCAGTTCTGCGATCAGAATTTAAAGCAAGCGTGGTGGTGACATTATTGTTAAATGAAAAGGAATATTGTCTGTGTTGCAGTTAGGAAAAGTACCCTGAGAAGGATGCCCTTCTTTCCCCAGATCCACATAAAAATTAGCTTCTCCTTTCCCTCACTAAAGCACATACAAAGTCTTAATGATTTGAAGACCTTTGATATTCTCATCCCCATTGGCTAAACCTTTTGAATTCTGAGATCAGTAGCTTTCTTTTGCTTTGCTTTTCATGAACTATAGTAACTGAATTTTTTAAGAGAAAATGCATTTTACATCTAATGATTATAATAACTTAAGCTGGCTATTTATCTTAGGTTTTTCCTCAGAAATAAATCACTTTTAGGAAAAATATTTAACTAGAAGAGTGATATTTTTTAAAAATTGACATAGGATATTAGTATGATGTAGTAAGAATAAAAATCTCATGGAGTCTGTTATATTAATTCTGAATGACATTTTTTATTTGAATATACAGACTTTGGGAGTAGAATATGTCCTACTGAAACCTTGAAATAATAAGGTAAAAATTAAAATTTAAAGGCAATTTTTGCTAAGGGAAAAATGTCATGTATCAGATTATTTAAGGTCTTTTATATAGAATGGATTTAAGAATACCTGTTATTCTCTAGAAAATTAATTAGCCAGGTTTGTGCTTAATAAATACTACTTGATGATGATGAAATTAAATGAAAGAAAAATGCCTGACATAGCTAATTGCAAGTGTATGCGCTCAGAATATGAAATATATATAATTTAAGTAATTTGATTCTGGTGTGCTTAGGAAATTTGGAATACTCCCTCTGAGAAATGCAGAATTTTATAATCTAGACTATTTAGTATGAGGTGAAAGAAAGAAAAAGATCTAATACAAGCA